TCAAATTGTGAAGACCATTTTCCCCCTTCAAAAAATATCTCTATATATGCATTTGTGAACTGTTATTTACGATATTTGTAATAATTTTTGTTTAATCACTTTATTTCAACGTTCTTTTTTGCTAATTATGTATTCGCTCGAACTTCGTTAAAACCTCAACTGTACCCCGAACAACAACCGAAGTTGTAGGAGGAAATTCGCGTATTTTACCGATCTAGGTATCCCCCCCTTTTCCAAATTTTAATATTGACTCGAAATAATAATGTAATAATAATAAGTTTTAATAAAAATTATAAAATGTAAATTGAATTTTGTCATGACGAGTTTGCTTAAATTTCCTTTCTTCTGAGATCGCAGCAATGCACGACGGGTAAGCTAGTTTATATATATAATGTGTATTTTGGAGTTGGCTACATAGCTTTTGAATAAAGGCCAGTATTATTACTGTGGTTTTAAAGTGTATTCTTGCATTTCTGCAATAATGTTATGCAATAATAAGATTCCACATTTTAACAATTTTTGAGTTGATATAATTTGGAGAATTTGTCATGAATTATATCAAAAACAATGCCCAAATCATATTACTGAGCCAAACCAGATTTATTACAGGGCTATATTTTGTCTAATTAAATATAAAAATGTTCTGTAATTTAAATTAAAAATAGCTATTTAAGTTGTCATCTTATAATAATGATTAGACTTTAATAATTAGAAAAGAAAACATTGATCTGAAGTTGGGCTTGAATCTGTTTGATCTTTGTTTTCAGACCATTATTTAGAAGATACTGACCACTTGCTGTACTAAGTGGAAAAGGCTACACATTCATGGCACTCAGCCGATTTTTAAGCATATATAATAATCATGGTAATTGAGTTGCCAAGATGACAAGTTAATCATTTACCTTTAGTCTAAATTACATTTTTATATTTAATTAGCCAAAATGTAATCCAGTAATAAATCTGGCTTTATCACAAGTTTTGAACATTGAATAGTTCATTATTGTAATCAGTATAAGCGTATATATGCGATCGATATAAATTATAATAAAAAATAAACCAGATTTTGCTCTAATCTTGTACAGAAATCCAAATATTTTGTTTTAAATAATTGATTTATGTGTAATTATTCTCTACAAATATTATAATAAATGTGCAGTTAAGTCTACAGTTTATAATTTTTCAAGGAGGGTTTATTGTTCCTTTAATAATAATAAATATCCACTTTGTTGCTGGGAGTGAGAATATTCTGAAAAGGAAGCATATTTCATCAAACTTCTTAGAAGTAAGTGGATATTTATTGCATGTTAGGAGAATTAAGGACCAAACAGAAGGGTTATTATTATTCCATTCTGAAATTGAATATTCAAGATTACTTTGTTTAAAAAATTTAACAGAGAGATACTATGAGTAAGATGATAAAAAATTGAACATTTGAAGAAACCTATTTTCTGAAGAATACAACACAAAAATATCTATTTTTTTATGCAAATACATCATTCACTTCTGAATAAAATGTTTTGTTAAATGATTCAAGGCAATCTCACTCATTTACTAAACTCTTTCTAGTAAAAATATGGAATCTTGGCATTTCAGGTTGGAATGCTGGACACTTTCTGAATGGCATTGTAGTTGGGAGTGGCTGCAAAGTTCATTATCCCCACACTATTTCATTCCTACCTGGTTCACATTTGACTAAGGGCTGAGTTTTTCACATTTTCTTCACATCATTAAACACCTAAATAGGGGCTAGTTTTCCATTGAAAGTCCCCCTGGGAGTCATCCCACTTTGCAAATTGCTCACATTTTGAATTGTCTTATCCCATTTTTCCACTCCACTCCTTTCATTATTATGAAATTACATCTTTGAATGACATTACTTACACTTTTTCAGGCTCAAACTCATTTACTAGACAAACCTTTGGTCAATATCATTAATATTTCAATAAATTCAAATTATTTTTGTATATTTTAAACTTGAGTTAGATATTCAACACTAACATGAAATTTACACTAAGAATAATGTGATTCTTAACATGATTAATTATAGTATAGTTTAATTTATGATTTAATATAATTTTTAAGTGTAAAATTGAGAATAATAAACTATAAATATATATATATATATATATTTGATTTTAATAATAATTTTGTTTTTGAGTTTTATTTTTATAAAGAGTAAAGAATATACTTTAAAATTCCAGAAAAGGTATACCCCAAGATACTTTAAAATTTTGTTTGTAAGTCCCAGGTAATAAATTTTGAATGTGTTTTGGATATATTATATTTTTTTCGTAATAATTAAGTTTCTGTATGCAGTAGTATCCATTTATGTACAGTCTTAATCTCTTATAAGAGTTGTTATTACTACTCATTTTTATGTATACAGTATATTTGGGAGTTCCGAAGTAACATTTTTCAAATATCTGTATCGTCTTACTTCAAAATACGTCTTTCTAAATTAAAATTTTATTTCTATTTTGTAGCTCATTTTGTAAATTTTTATACAAAGTAGTTAAGAGTGCTTTTTTTCACACAATATTTAAATTTGTATCTCCATGGACTCTGAATTTCAATTTTAACTGGCAATCACTTTTGCAATTTACAGATTAAAGAATTAATATTTGAAAGTCACATTAAACATTTTAAATCTTGGTTTCCTTTATTGATATAACTCTGACAGTCACCAGTTAAAGCAGTATTTAGACAGGCATTTCTTACATTATGTTACCCCTTCTGTTACATTATGTACAAGTGTTTACACAAGCTCGTGAATTTTTATTGTCAGCCAATCAATATCAAAATTTTTATAATAATTTTCCCTAAGATTGTATAAAATTGGATTTTTTTTTTAATGATTAAGGAAACCAGCTGAAAAGTTAACAAATAAAATATGCAGAAGCCTAGCATATTTACAAAGCTTTGCTGAAAGAACACGCAATTAATTTCAAGGACATTAACATAATACTGAGAGCATAGAAAGTGTTGCTGCATAGCAGTTTTAATTATTATTATTATTTGTGTATATTTATTTATCTATGTATTTTATTTTGTGTATGTATTTATTTATTGATTTATTATCAATACGAGATTTCAAAATCAAAATTTGTTCCATCAAATGCATTATATAAATCAAACGTATTCTAGAAAAACTGTTAGGTGTTTGTTCTTTTAGAATGTAATTTTTTTTTCTGAAGACGATCATTGAAGATGTGTGAAAACATTTAAATTGAGAAATTTTTACCCGCATTGAATGATTTTAGAGTTGTTATTCGTCCTTGCAGACTTCTATATGAAAAAGAGAAAAATATTTCTGTTCAAATTTTGAGAAATTCGACCCATAAACGTTAAATTCAAACTTGTAACTTCAAATTTATTTGTAATTTACCGAAAGATAATATAATTAAGTAGAATATTTTTAAATTTAAAATACTGTGTGACATTGTAAACATAAAGAAAACATTGCTGAATCAAGTTAGATGTTACATATCGAGTTAACGGCCTTTTACATTATGAAGTATAAAATAAAATTGCTAATTTAAATAATGGAGAGAATTATTTTACACATACATACATATTCTGCCCTAAATACCAAAGATATATAAAAGTTAATGAGGTTAATGGGTGTCTAAATAGCACTGTCATTAGCATATTCTCAGATTATCATTATGATATTAAAAGTATTTTTGCATTTCAATCACATATTTTACAAGTTTTGGTAATGACAAAAATCTCAGATAGGTTCGGAGTGGGGAGAGATTAGGACTTGGAAGTCTCAAAAATTGTAGTTTAAAAAAATGAGTTTCTTCCCACGAGTGCTAATAAACCTGTATTTTATTTGAATTTTGGAGAGTAGTAGAGTTCATTCATGCTTTTCTGAGGTCCTATTCTGAAATATTATTTTATCTGATAAGAAAATTTGATGTTATTTCCTGTAATTAGTTACTATTTTAAGTTGCACAGCAGCGTTGTTATATTTACGTT